TTACGCCATATTTGCTTTCCTAAATTTTATTTTTTTTCAATTTTTTGTTGTACAACAACCATAAGTAAAATTGCACCGTCATGCACGCCACAGCTCTGATTTTTGTTATTGTTTTTATAAATATGGTTAGCTTTAAGCTTCTCTATATTCTTGATCTTTCATTTAAAGTCAATAGAATCGTTTCACTTGAATTGTTGTTGCTCGTCTTCGATACAACTGCTACTACTACTGCTGCTGCTATGGGTACTGCTGCGACTGCGGCTGCGGACGCGGGTGCTGCTGTTACTGCTGTTACTCTTGCCGTTTAAAATGGAGCTGTTGTCTTTACTAATATTTTTGTCGCTGTTGTGTTTATGTTTCGTACTACAAATTTGTTGTTGTGAATAATATTCTGTCACCCAAAAACTTGCATTCGTCATTCAAGAGCATATTTTTGCATGGTTGCATTTACAGCGTGTGTAAACAAGCATCGCGACTAGTTCTGAACTAGTGAATTCACTAGTCAGCAGGTGTTTAGTACTAGTCGCTTCATGGGCTCAACTGGTGAATTCATCATTGAGTTGTCATTCCCGGTATCAATTGTGCCCGTACGACACACCTTGGAACAAGGCTTTTCACTAGTTCATAAGGGGTGAAATAGTGTCGATTGTATCCGCACTACCCAACGCGGCAATAGTATTCTCACTAGTTCTTGATTTGGAAAATAATAAATAAAACGTTCATTTTATATATTATTACATATTTATTTATTTTAATATAAGTAAATATATACTCATATATTAAATATTTTTATATTAATAAATTACTTTCTAGCTAATTGTGTTGTAGTTAAATCAAATTGTCTAGGGATTTAACTGATGATCTATAGATGATGTTGCAACCTTGTCTTTAATAAAAAAAAAATTTGATTTATACGCTATTATTTTAACAGATTTTGGTACTTACATGGAGTTGGGACACATTTATTCGTACTCATCGTAGCGTGTTTTAATGACTAATGTATATCGTTCTATTATTAATTCTAGATATTATTATATTATATTATTTTACATATTTTTGTATTATATTTTTAAAATTATTTGCAATAAATTAGCAGTAAAAGCGATATTTATCCAATGTAAGCAAGACCATATAAAATCGATACCATATCTGTTAACATTACTTGATCTTCTTCATTCATAGGTTCACAGTCTCATTAAGCATATTGTTGTATGTTTTTACATATTCGCTCTATCGTAAATCAACGCTCTATTGCGAAGGAGGCATTTTATTAAAAACAAGAGAACGAAGCATATTGCTCTCAATTTGTTTATACACAACAAGTATAAGCAGTGGACTTTTGTTTCAACTGGTGAATCATTGCATTACCAGGGATCGGAATATGTACTAATGTTCCAAAATAAATAACTCTTATATGTGGTTGAATTTCTTTATTTCTCATTTGTTTGGTATTCTCTTCGTTCAAAAATAATAAAATGCACCATTAATTTTTATACAAAAAAGTATTGAGAAATTTAACCCACTGAACCCCACTGATCACTCATTTCACTAGTTCCTTTGGACTACTTCGTGTACTAGTGCCTAGCGACAATTGTCTCATAAAAAACTGCTGAGAAATGACTGCGTTATTAAGCGCGGTGCAGTCTATTATTTTTCAATATCATTCAAACTGCGCTCTCTCTTGCTAAAATTTATTCTAGGGACCGAACTTCAACATGCTCACATTCGAATAAGCTACCTTAATTGTTAATTGTGCTGTGGTGGGTGACTAATTAACTTTTTATTTATTCTAATCTAAACACTTAACTTTTTATGTTATAGTATTTATTTTAATCAAATCTTAATACTAAGACATTCATTTTAAATTTTAATACCGCGACCTCGTCCTGGTTGATTGCGACTATACTTTTGAATTTCTCTAGGACTTCATAAATGATGTCACTGCCTTAAAAACAACAACACTGTCCAATTGTATATCCAATCCGTTTTTACTCCTTAATGATCCACTCCCCTCTCACACTACTATTACCTATCCATATTCCAACACATGTACACATGTTTGTAATTCCTTTCATATTATCTGCTTCATAGTTTCTTACCAATAGGTACTAATATTAGCTCAGTAAGCATGTCGCAGGAGCATGAACGCCATCTAATATAGTCATATGTAGCACCGGAGTGCAACACATATCATACCTGATAAGTACAACTCGGGTACAATGCATTCTGGCGGAATAAACTTCAAGTTGGCAGTTTTCGAAAGAATGCTTTGTTCACTGAGTTCTGCTGAATAAAGAGATTCCCATCATCATTTTCGACAATTCCGTTGACTAGAATTAAGAATTAAAAAAGAATAATAAGAGTAGTCTAAGAAGACGAACTTAAGCAAAAGGTTGTTTAATTTATCTATATTGATGAAGTAGCACTGAGAATTTTCGAGAGAAAAGTACTTTATAGGATCATTGTTCCTCGACGAGTTGACAACGACTACAGTTCGTACACTGTACAAGCGAAACTGATACAATTCAGCAAATTACTATCAAGCGGCTTCACGAGGTTGGTCATATTATAAAAATGGATGAAAATCCTAAAGTGAAAAAGGTATTTAAAGCGCCGTTAGGTAGTTAGTGTCTCCAGTGGAGTGATCAAGTTGAGGAAACACTAACCGCACTTGATGTCCAAAGCAGGAGAAGGTGTGCACTCAACAGTAGACAGGAGCACTGCATCAGGCCGAAACCCGATGACGAGTTGTTATGACTATTTAAGTAAGTAAGTAATATAATTACCATAAATTAATATTTTAGTTAAAATAATGAAACAGTCATGATAAGCTTAATTTATTTTATTCTTAGTTTTTAAAAATGTCCTCATACACCACATATACACCCCGTGCCTTTGAAGTCATTGTTCTTGCAAAGCTTGGCATTAAAAAATATTTATTTTGACTAGCTTCCGCGTTCACCGAATTTGAGACCGCTAGACTTTTTCCTCTAGTGTTACTTATAGTCAATAGTGTATTTCACCAACGCTAGACGAACATTCGCAAGAAAATACTCACCATAGTAATCGAAACATTGACAAATGCTATTGATAATGCTAAAAACAGGGCACATTATCTCATTCGAGCTTAGGTTGCATAAAATACTGGAACCCTTAAAAGAAAAAGATGCCGTGGTGAAAAATTTCATTACTCACTTCAACAAAAGCAAAACAAAATCTATTGCTGGCTTGTGGTATTGGTCTTATCCTCATAAAAATGTACATCTTCGAAAATCACTTCTTCAATTTTATGTTAAAAAAAATTGTTGATCTTATAGCAGTAGTGATCAAAATTGATGGATTGTGTCACATCTTCATATATTCCAAAAAATAGGTGCTCAAAATAGTTTCACAGCAAATACCACTGCACATATTGACTTTTTATGGATTCAATAGTTTCTCGATAGTCAATTGTAAATTTTTATTTGTAAATTTTACTCCAGTTTTATTTTTAACAGTGTAAAAAAAATTTACTACGAAAAGTAGCTATAACATTATTACCATTTTTGTTGTTAAATTTCACGATTTTACCATGCTCTGTTATTGCTAAGCGAACTATATTGTAAAATGACAATTGACCTGTATTATTTAATGGAGAATATTCTGTAATTTAAAGGAAAGAAAATTGAAGAATCCCAACTAATTTTTTTATCAAATGAATTATAAACTACTATAACTTATAAGATGGTTGGAATGTCATCAAATTTTGGCACATAACTTTTCAGACAAACGGCACTATCGAACAGTATAATCAATATCTCTCTTCAATATAAACTATTATAACTCATAAGATGGTTGGAGTGTCATCAATTTTTGGCACATAACTTTTCAGACAAACGGCACTATCGAACAGTATAATCAATATCTCTCTTCAATATAAACTATTACAACTCATAAGATGGTTGGAATGTCATCAAATTTGGGCACATAACTTTTCAGACAAACGGCACTTTCGAACAGTATAATCAATATCTCTTTTCAATACTTAAAGAAGATAATATATGCATTCCACTTGTTTATATTAAGTACATAAAGAGTTTGAATACTTTTCCTGCTAAAAGAATTCTTTCACATCCTCAGAATTCGTCTTAGTTAAGGCACACTGTGATTATTGCACTAAGAAAAAAATTTTAAAAATGTTTGAAATATTTATTTCAATTTATTTATTATGTTTTTATTTATTACGTATATGTATTATTATTGAAATTTATACACCTTCTATTAAATAAAATAAATTAATACTGGGAGATTTATTATAAATATAATATAGGTAGAGCACACATTTTTTCTCATTTTATATTCTCAATATAAGCTGAAAAGTTAATTATATTGTATATATTGTATTACAGTGAAAACTCTCTTGAGCAGACACTCCATTCAAAAGTTCAAAAGGTTTTAAGTTCTTTTAAAGGTAAAAAAGTTTGGATTTAGTACATAATCCACATAAGAGGAATATGTTTTTAACGGGGGTTTCCGCTAGAAGACTTTTCACTGTATTTCTTTAAGAAATTAAATTAAATTCTGTAACTTAAAAATACAAGTAAATCTATTGCTATATGAAAATTATTGAAATTAATCACAATATTCTCAATATATCCACCAAAATTTTTATATACGAGAATCTTCAAATGGATGAAATATATAACATAAACGTAATTAGCAGCGAAGGTGTAGAAAGTACGTCTACGTATTATTGTCGGTCTTGGCCGACTGCACAAATATTTACTTAGTCTAATGTACAGATTTTTAATTCTTTACTAAATAATAACACATCGATTCTTAATGTCATGAAAATTTGATTATTATGTGACATATTTTTTTATTAAAAATTTTGCATTTCGGTTGCTAGCAACTCATTTCCTTAGCTATATTTATTATATTAAACTACTTAGATTTTTATATGAGAATATGTTTACATTAAATTTATTTTTTTTTTGTATTTTTGCAAACTAATTGTTTATTATTCACACACAATTATTAAGAGTTTAGATGACGAACTAATTGAATTTTACACACAATGCTGTTACTATATCATTTACTCGTAATAAAGAAAACATGTATTTTTGTTCTACTGCAAATGACTGATGATTTAATAGTCCTTACAAGGATTTAACTTATCACCGCGCATATAAGCCATCCTGATCCGCTGTTTGAATGTCTACCGCCTTCGCGTTGCACAATTTTGTTGCTCCTTTATTTCTAACACCCAATTTTGTGTTTGAAAAGCGAACGGTCTTTTGCTCGAGCGATCCGGCCAATAATTTGTCTGGGAGCGAGAGTGAGACACCTTGAATCCATTTTATTAAAAAAATGTAACTTAAAATCACTGAAAACATTTTTAAGCCCGTAAAATGAAAGCCAGGTTTTTGAAATTTATGTAAGGACTTGGCAGATGAGTTTGGAGTTTCTGTAAAAAATAGAAGAAATTCAGGATGTAATTATAGAATGTCAATTCTTTCAATTCACGAAATACATATGCGTTATTTATGTTAAATTTAGTGATAGTTGTCATAAAAGTTCTTAAGTGGTATTTGAATTAAAAAACTAATTTCATTGGTGGTATTTCAAATCGCATTAAAATCAAATGAAACTGCAAAACGTTGATATTATATTTTTTGTTTATAGTGCACTCAAGAGGACGTTAATGCCGACTATAACCCTTTAGCAATGCACAAAATGTGACTGTCACAGATTCACTGTTTTTTTGGTAAATCTTAACATTTTAACAAATTCTGCGGCCATTAAAAGATTTATGTAATAAAATGGCAACTCAAACTTATATATATCGCTAAACCAGTGCTCCTATATAAAGCCCACGGGAAATATTAACTTTTTGCAATTAAAAAACTACGAACAAACGTGTTAGGTTGAAGTGGTAGCCTTGTGCTCACTCAAATAATAGCGTCGTTATGATACCACGTACTAGTGTTGTTTATATGCAGACTAGAGGTCACTGTACAAGCAACGCACGACTCACCCATTCAAGTGAAAGTGAACCATACTGACAAACTTATAAATGTGGCAACGTCCCTAATTTTGTGGAATGACAGTTCTGTCAGGTCGGTAGTTAAGAAGTCCCGAAGATTTTAAATCATCGCGTAACCAATGATGAAATCTTACATATGAGGTGGAATATAGATTCCCCCTATTTAGTGTATTGTGGCTCTGCGGTTACAGTCACGATAGATGATGAACCTAATTTCATATTAAGTAGTTCTAGTATGCAGTAACCTTTCAGTACCGATTCGGTAGTGCTGAGTAGGTCACGTCTTAGTTAAAGCAGCTGACTGGTAAGTTTCTTATGAAATGAGCCGCTCAAACCACTCGATTTTTATTCAAAGGTTCTAACCGAGACACAATAACGATACAGCATGTATGATAGAGAGTTGCTTTCCATTTACCATGCCAACAAAACACTTTGAACACATGATGGAAAGTAATGCATAGCTTAAATGGACCACAGGCTTATCATATCTGCATTCCAAACCTGCACAAACCTACAACAGACATACAACACATCGGTGAAAAAAATAACAACTGACTTACTTTCACATATTGAAAAAATTAATGCTAACGAACAGATCTATTTCAACAAGTTAGCAGTTAACCGGAAAGATGACACCGAACTAAAAAACCTGTTAACTAAAAATGAGACATCGTTGAAACTCAAATGGACCAACTCAAAGAGTGCATCCCTCAGTTCCTCAAGAACATCGACAGCAAATTTTCTGGGCGATGCACAATTTGGAGCATCCAGGAAGTAAACGACCGATCAAGCAAATATGTGCGCGTTTCGTTTGGCCAGGTATGAAAAATGACATAAGGAAAATGGTAAAATCTTGTCATCAATGCCAACGTACTAAGCGATCCAAGTATAACCCAACAATACCTGGTAGTTTCAAGTTACCAGAGTAGCGATTTGCCTCTGTACATATCGATATCATAGGGTCTTTGCCGAAGTCAAATGGATTCAGCCATTGTTTAACCGGCTTTGATTGGTTTACCAGATGGCCAGTTGTTATCCTTATGATTGATATTAATGCAAATACAGTAGCGGCAACATTACTGGAACGTTGGATTGCACATAATGACGTGCCTTCTGAAATAATAACCAATTAAGGCCAAGAATTCAAGTGAAAATTATTCAATGAACTCACGAGGTTATTTGATGCACAAGTCCACGTTATCCGGTTTCAAATGCAATTGTCCAACGTTTTCACCGCAACCTTAAAACAGCTTTGAAGTGCAGATCCAAGCAAAGCTCGACTGATGAACTACAAGTTGTGCGACTCGCTCTGAGAAACGCATACAAAGACGACATCAAGGCGGCTCCTGCAGAGAGGGCTTATTGTCGGATACATAAATTACCAAGTGACTTTTTTGAAAGCTTCAGTAAAGACATGCACGATTCAGAGTTCGCACAATTACTACGAGACTTAATGGAGCAACTAAGACCGATACCTACAGTAAACCTACTGTACTCATGTTTACCTACGCGATGACACCGTTCGACCACCTCTCAAAGCACAATACGATAGATCACTTAAGGTAACTGATCGCGACGATAAGCTGTTGACCATTCTACGGAAAGCCAAGCCAGTATGTGTAAGTATAGATCGGGTCAAAGTTGCCTACATTTGTGGTGATGAGCAAGAGACAGATTATTGGCAGACATCATAATAGTCTTTTGCACATCAAAAAGCAGACGAACATAACCATAAGTATCTTGTAAATAAAACTCAAACAACGTCTAGCGGCAGACGAGTTCGGTTTTCAGTTCGGTTTGTTGAAAATGTTTAAGACGGTCAATAGCATAGCATCACTAATTTTATCGTGCCATTGATTCATTCTGTCACTGGAGAGGGAGTGATGTGGTACACGAGTCTTTCAGGCGCAAAAGCAATTTTAAGCTTGAAGATTTCATTTAAAAACTACACTTAAGACGTGCTCAACAGTGGCGCGGACATCATAAAGTATTATTGTAAATTGTTGTAAAAATTGTGTTTTACTTCGCTTAGTGTATTATCTCCATAGTCCTGTTCGAGAATTTGGAACACAGCTCATATGGAAAACTTGTAATTCCAAATCGTAATTAATGTGCATGAAATATTATACAAAATGTAATAAGAAATACAAATAAAAGCAAAAGAATAGCGAAAAAAAGTACAAAGTTCACTTAATTTAAAGATAATTGTGGCGTCCATTCATTACCGAAAAACAGAACATTGAAGTACACATGTTTGGTAGTCGTATCCGTTACCGAAGATCATCTCACTTGGTTAAGTTACATGGAAGCAGTGAGTTGGACAAAGTTGAATTTAAGGCAAAAATATCTACGATAGTAGAAATGTAGTACTGTGTCAATTCGTGTCCTTTGTAAAAGTACTATGGAGTCTGAAATGTTAGTATAAATGTGAACAAATGAATGTAAGGCAATGAATCTGAGTCAATGAATGAGTCTTAGTGAGGGACAATAAAAAAATCATTGTGATTAATAATGTAACGTTAGTCAAGCATAACAATGTTATGTCCGAAATTACGGTAACCATCTATAAATATCTACAACACCACATACGCATACATGTTTTATGGAAGGAAATTCCTCCACTGGCTGCAGGATAAAGACACGCACAAAATGCTTCTTAATAGACAAAACGAAACCGGGTTTAACCTCAAATACGAAATTGTGGCGCATTATCAATCTTTTGCGTTTCGTACATACCATATTCAAAGCAAAATACATAAGCGTTTAAGGGAAGAGAAAAGAAAGGGAGTGTTTGAAGAGTGTAGGAAATCGTTAGAAGAAATAATCGTGAAGAGTAAAAGCGAATGCAGATTAAGCAAGAAAGTGGAAAAAAATATGTCTGAAATTCCATAAAATCTTTGCATGATTGTTTTATAACTAACAAACGCTCACACACACTCTTGCAAGTACACACATGTACACCAAACACCACACACAGAACTCCATATAGAAACCATTACTTTGATAAAGTGTCGAGTATTAAATCAAAGTTAGTAAAATAATTCCCAAGCGCAAACGTTTGGCAAGTACAGAAAAACAGAAAAACAGAAAAACAGAAAAACAGAAAAAACATGAAGTAAAGACAAAATAGAAAAAACAAAAACAATAAAATAAAATAGAAAGGAAAGTAGTAGCGTTACCAGTAGGAAATTACAAAGGAAACACCTTGTTACTGGCTTACGGTAGTAAAACTACTGCTGCTACCACTAAACGCTTACTAGCACTAACCATGTGCATGAGCGCCGTAATATATTGCCCGTACCGTACGGCAAAAAAGGCAGCTTTCTCAGACAATATTTTAATGCTTAGCTCTAAGCTGGTGCAATTAATTCAGAGATTAATTCCACCGAAGGGAGTAATTCGCATTCGCCATTTCCCCATCATTACAATACCATAACGAAGTGAAATGTAACGAAATTTCCGTTTGCAGATTGAGGTTCTATGTATGTGTGTAAAAGCTGCATTTACTGTGTAGAATTGTAGAATATATATATTAGAGAGTCGATTATCAAGGACATTTAGAAAAAAAATTTTGTAATCGTTATGAGCGCAGAGTTTAGCAAATTAAAGACAAAAATTTGATATGCTTAGAGAACTAATTACCACACATTTTCTACTCGATAAGCAATATGACTATTATTACTTACTCGTATATACATCATAAATTTTAGCTTTGAAATATATAGAAACATCATTCAACTTAAATGAATAAAAGAACTTACCACGAAATCATGTTATAAAAATTTAAGAATAACTTTTTTATACAGTTCTCATAAAGATTATTGCAAAAACTTTAGTAACTCATAATCAATTGAACACATAAACAAACCCAAGCACCTTCTAGGTATGAAAAGTAAGTTCTGATTCTAAACTTAAAAACACTGATGGGTCCAAAATGGACGCTGACAGTGCAGGAGTAGGAATTATGGTTCAGAAACTCCGCAAAGCAATCGAAATGGGAAATACCGCTTCCATTTTCCAGGCAGAGGTTCTTGCCTTAGAGCTATGTGCGAGAGAATACCGATGTAGAAGCATTCGAGGTAGCAAAATATGCATTCTTTCGGACAGCCAAGCAGCTCTAAAATCTTTGGTCTGGGAATGCTTTCAACTTCTCAGTACCATAGCATCGAGAAACTATGTTACTCTTATGTGGATACCGGAATTTGAAGGGCATGAGGGCAATGAAATAGCAGACTTCTTAACAAAGAAGGGTGCATGTACTCCTTTCATTGGTCCAGAGCTCTACTACGTGGTAACAAATAGCTTCACAAATAACTTATTATGTAAACGGGAGAAACAAAATTCACTTGAACACTATAGAGCCCAAACAGGTATGCGGTAGTCAAGCAGATTCATTGTTCCTGAACACATCAAAGTTGACG